GCAGCAGCCCTTGAAGGTCATGAGCCACTGCACAGGGTCAGGGGTGGGTGGGACTGGGACATCAGAGCAACACGCAGGAAGGCGGCACAAGGCTCCACCTGAGCCAGGGCACCCGACTGGCTTTGGAGCTGAATAGGCAGAGGGGGCTTCCAGGCCAAGACAGGAGAGACTCAGCACCCCAGGGTGGGGAGGACCACCAGATGGCAGAGATGGAAAGACCAGGAGGGCAAAAGATGCCATCTGTTGTGAGGACGTCCCCAGAGGGACACAGAGGCGGCAGTCTTAGCTGGGTGGCTTCCAGGTGTCAGACACGTGGTGGAAAATGTTCAACTGAGCCAGGAACTGGGCCTCCAGCAGTCCCTATGACTCCTAACCCCATGGGGCTGGCATGGCACTCCTGCACTTTGCCCCCAGAGTAGGCCACAGGTTGTGATCCTGAGCTGGGGACATAGGAGAGCTGGAAGCCAGCACCATGGGGACACAGGGATGGCCCAGCAAGCCCACATCTGTGGCAGTGGGGCCAGGGTTCATGATACACGGCACCCTCACCCCCTCCCTCCACCTCTACCACTACCCTCCACCCCTCTCCTGGCCAGGACTCACCCACCAACAAGCTGCTGTATGCGAAGGAGATCCCCGAGTACCGCAAGGTCGTGCAGCGCTACTACAAGCAGATCCAGGACATGGCGCCGCTCAGTGAGCAGGAGATGAACGCCCATCTGGCTGAGGAGTCTCGGGTGGGCACAAAGGGGACTTGGGCATGGGTGGAGTGCTCCATGGGGGGAGAGGAGATGGATCCTGGGGCCTCTGAGGGGCCTGCTTGCTTGCCTGAAGGCTGAGCAGGGCAGCGTGAGTCCCTTTGGTGACCAAGACCATGCCCTCCTCCTCCGTGTCCCTGCAGAAGTACCAGAATGAGTTCAACACTAATGTGGCGCTGGCAGAGGTCTATAAATATGCCAAGCGGTACCGCCCACAGGTGAGCACCCCACACCTGGCAGTCTAAGACTCTGGGGTGGTGACGTTTTCCAGTCAAGGCTCCTGGGTGGGCACCAGGCAGCCTGTTCTGAGAGCTGAGGCCCAGCTGTCCTGGTCACCCCACAGATCGTGACAGCGCTGGAGGCCAACCCCACGGCCCGGAGGACGCAGCTGCAGCACAAGTTCGAGCAGGTGGTGGCCCTGATGGAAGACAACATCTATGAGTGTTACAGCGAGGCCTGAGCCCAGCACCAGCCACTCTGTGTGTGGCAAGACCACGTCCTGGAGCCTCGGATTGCACAAACTCTTGGGAATGGAGGGGCTCTGTCCCCTCTGCCTGCCCCCTCAAATGCCACAGCCAGACCTTTGGGAGCTCCCCTTGCACCCTGCTGCCCTGGCAGCTGCTAAGATGCTGGCCACAAGTGCCAGCATGGATGGGACACGGACGGGGCCTCGGCTGCACCTTGGAAGCACTACCTCAGCCATATGCAAAGGGCCCTCGTGGGTTCTGCTTCAGTCACCAAACGCTGTCTCCCTCCTGCCACCTGGACAGGACTCGCTATGGACAAGGAGCAGGGCCCGACTTCCGAGGCTCTGGGCCCAGCATGGGCAGCACCCATGCATACCCACGGGGATGCTGGGACAGGCAGGGATCCTGGTCCCCTGGAAGGGAGCAGGACTAGCATGTACCGAGGCTGTAGCTGGGCTACTCCGTCCTTCTGGAAGTGTTCCTAAAGATAGCACCGCTTTCTTCTTTTTTCTTTTTTTTTTAAGCTTTTATATATTAAAAAACTTACCTTGTGCTGACTGTGAATGGCTGCCACCTGTGCAGAGGCCCAAGGGGGCCTCCGTGCAACACTGGAAGTGACTGTCCCCAGGATGGGCCTGACCAGGCTCCTCTGTGCATGGAGAATTCACCTAGTTTTGTCCCCCATAGCTGGGATGGTGCAGAGCTGGGCCAGCTGCAGGGGCCGGGAGTCCCTAGAACCGTCTTTGTAATAAAAGTTGCCGGGAAACCTACCATGGCTCGGCCTTTGTCCTGGGGGGTGGAGGATGTGAGGGCATTAACTCCCCAGTGTGCAGTGGAGTGGAGGCGACACCTGGCTCTGGGTCCCTCGGGCCCTCCAGGAAGCTGTCATGGCTGTGCGGCCCCCTGGATGGGCCCTGCTGAGCACTCGTGTGCAGTGCAGTGCTGGGGATGGAAGCTGAGGCCGTGTGCCAGGCCTGGCTCACACTCGGCCACACCCAGCCCTTACGTTCTTTATAACAAGCTCAGGTGGAGAAACAGAAACTTCTCAGGCTGCCACTGTCAGGGGGAGACTTGCCCCCTGCTTCCAGGCCAGGTCTCTACCCTCACCCTGAAATGTGTACAGGGCACGGGTGTCTGCTGGGTGGAGGAGCTGCCTGTCAGGTGCTTGCTCTGGATTTCTCATCTTCAAAGTCGTGTCATTAGCCACACGTTTCTGACAAGGACACAGATGGCTCCCCAGCAGGACAGGCTGCCCCATACACCGGCGCTGAGCAGTGACTGACGAGTCAGACACAGGCCACCACTGTGTCTAGGACTCAGCAGCCCCAGGGACAGGTCACCACAGGGCCCTCCTACTTCGAAACAAGGCCACAAAAATGTCCCCCTCAGCAAGAGTAAGAGCTGATACTTGGGCGTGGTGGTGCCTGCCTGTCATCCCAGCACTCAGGAGGCTGAGGCAGGAGGATCACCAAGTTTTCAAGACCAGCCTGGACTAGAGTGAGACCCTGTCTCAGGAAACCAAAACAAGGAATAACAGCTGGGGCCAAAACTCCATAATACAGAAACAAAATCCCGTGGATTCCAACTCTAGAGTTAAAGAGAGTGCACAAGTCAGGGGAAAAGTAAATAATCTTTTGTTTTAAAAACCTCTCCTCACCCTGAAGCTACTACAGGAAAAAGCTTGACTTCAGCTTTCAAATGTTCTATTCTGAGCATTGATTCCTTCTTATTAAGCAGCAGATTTTCTAATTTAAGTTATTGGCATATTTGATAGGATCTTTGGAGGGGGAGGGCACCATTCTAGAATGACTGCATGTTTCCCAGGGAAATACAGGAAGCACAAAAGAGCACAAAGAAAATAAAAGCTGCCCCTCCCTCCCAGGCTAGGACCTTGGAGGGGAAGGAAACAGAGGGGACCAAGCCAGGGTGGCCGGGGATGGGGCCTGGAGCGAGCATGGATGGGGGCCATGATGAAATCGCAGCCCAACTCCCCCTCACACAGGATGTGGTGACATCTTTCTTGTCAGTAGCTATTTTGCAGCCTGTCAGTGCCTGATTAGCATGCAGCTCCTCACCATAGCGGAGGTGCCCCGTGGTTTCCGGGTCACTCTGAAAGTGGCCAACTTCAATAGCCGTCTACGGCCCTCATCTGGGGCCCTGAGATGTGCGCACTGTGGACTCCTGGACCGACCCTAGCCTCTACTGAGGGTCACAGGCAGTTGGGGGTGTCTCAGACAAAACTTCCAAAAGGGGGAAGGCACAGGGTGTGACCTGTCACCAGCTGTCCCCTGGGCGGGGCCTGTGGCCTGCCTGGTGGTCACCACCAACCCCAGCCTGTGCAGAAAGCAGAGACAAAGCCCCTGGGCAGGAAGCCACTGCAGTCTCCTCCTGCCCAGGGCCTGCCAGCAGCCTTGCACGGATTCCCAAGAGAGGTGTGCAGGGGGACAGCCTCTTGTGGGGCAGGGGAAGGTGGCGGTGGTGGAGCTGCATAGGAAGGGAGCCATGTGGTGGCCATGCTGGACGGCCTGTTTCCCTGTCCCTGCAAGCCCAGGCAGCTCTTGGACATTAGTGGGCCTGAGGGACAATAGGGGGCAACATAGCCTCCTGAGCCAGCTAAGTCAGGTCTCGGACCCAAGGGACCCTACTGAGCACAGTGACATTGCGCGTGGTGCCCATTCTGACGCCAGGCTACTCGGCTGTCCACCTCCCCAACAAGCCCTCAGTGTTCCTGGCTGCTGCAGCCTATGGCCCAAGGTTAGCAGAAAGGAGATGTTCTTTAAGATCCTCCTGCCTCAGCTGGGCCTGGTTGAAATGAAGAATTTAACTTCTATGAGTTTTTCACGTGATGAAAGCCCCTGAGGAATCACTGTGTAATACCACAGGAGGACACTGCAATTCTGAAGTAAGTTCTAAGTGAACTGGGTTCAGAATCATCACCACTCCACTTCCAAGGACCCCAGGAGCGGCTCTCGGTGCAGAAGGCATCCATCTGGTGCCACAGGCCTCCTGCTTGCAGGGAAACTCTTCCCCACCTCTGTGGGGCACTCTCTAAGCTGGGACCTCTCCTCAAGGCCAAAGGAGCCAAGGGTCCAGTCCTTGCTGTGTTCCTGGTGACACCTCCAGCCTCCTAGGCTGTGTTGAGTCTTCAGCTGAGAGTGGTCACTTCCTGGTGACCCGGCCACGCAGGCCCTAGTGCATAGCCAATATCACCCACAGCCAGAGGACAGCTGTCATCATGACCTTGTTCCCGACTGCAGCTGGGACAAGGCCAGGAAAGGAGGGCTTGACCCAGCAGAGAGGGGTCTGCTGGCACCTCTCGCAGGAATGGCCAGGGAGCTTGGGGACCCAGCAGTGGGGTGTGCTGTGTCCCCTCCCCACAGAATGGCATCCATGTTCCTGGACCAGCTCCTCAAATCCCACCTCCTGCAGAAGCTCTTCCTAAACCCTGTTTGGTCGCTCCCACTGCCTGCAACCCTCCCTGGCTCCTTGAAGCCCAGGGCTCAGGCCTCCCCCACCATAAACCCCTCTGTAACCATGCCAGTGATCCCTGCACAGCCCTGCCCTCACCCACGGGGCCACTGCTACGGGATGGCCCCAGGTCCACGCCCTCCTGAGTTCCCTGGTCCTCAATACTCCCACCCACTCACAGCCCTTCACAGGACCAGCTGCCCACCTGCCCAGCAGTGGTACCCAGCATGTCTGAGAAACACCAGGGGGACAGGGAGCGGAGCAGGCTAAACCCTGAATCTCAGCAGCCCCTACACTGATGTGTGAGGAATCAGCGTCTTTATTGATAAATAGGTCAGGGTTAAATAGTGCCATGCTTTGGAAGGATAAAAACTCCAGCCCAGCCACCAGCTACCCCACTGGCCTCTACCTCCTGGGCTCTGAGGACGAGGCCTTGACCAGCGGCCTGGGCCTGCAGAAGCCCCTTGGCCTCCTGGCTGGGGACAGCGTCCCCCGCCTGGGCCCCCCAAATTTGGGAGCTGTGGTGGCTTTGGGAGCAGCGGTGGCTTTGGGAGCGGTGGTGGCTTTGGGAGCAGCGGTGGCTTTGGGAGCTGTGGTGGCTTTGGGAGCTGTGGTGGCTTTGGGAGCAGTGGTGGCTTTGGGAGCAGCGGTGGCTTTGGGAGCTGTGGTGGCTTTGGGAGCAGCGGTGGCTTTGGGAGCTGTGGAGGCTTTGGGAACTGTGGTGGCTTTGGGAGCAGCGGTGGCCTTGGGAGCAGCAGTGGCCTTGGGAGCTGTGGTGGCTTTGGGTCCAGGCCCTGAGGTGGCCTTGATTGCTGGCTTCCTGCCTGTTGAGGCAGGGGCCCGTTTCCCAGCCTAGGAGAGAGACAGCAGGGAAAGGCAGGAGCCCAGCCCCAGCCCCTCAGCTGTGGAGTGGGGTGACAAGGCCTCACCCCCAGAGAAGTCAGGCTGTGCTCTGCTGGGAGGAAAGTGTGCTCCCTGTGCCCTGGCAGATACCCCTGGGCTTCCGGTGGCGACCAGCACCCCCCCCCCCCAGCCTTGCTGGGGTAGGAAAGGGGAAGCCTACCTTGGGGGCCACGGCTACGGTTTTTCCAGGGGCCCCTGCTTCTCCTGGAATGGGGAAGGGGCTGGTGTGGGTGGCAGGTGGAGAGGTTTGGAGCCCCAGCCACCCCCTCAAGGAAGCCTTCCCTGACCCCAGCTTGGAACCCGTGGGCTCCGGTCTCCTTGGGCCTATCCTACCCTCCCCTCTCCAGCTACACAGGCGTCTCCCCAGATCCACACAGCACTCCAGGCACAGTTACTAGACGGGGACCCCAGCTGCCCTCCCAAACAGTTGGGCCTGCTCCTACACCCACCTTGCCTGCCCTGGCTGTCCGGGACCTTTGACTTCCTGTCGAGCTGGTGGACACTGGAAGAGGCCCCAGCTGGCTTTGGAGGGCCCTTCCTGGTCACACCCTGCTGTGGCCTGGTGCCCTTGCCCTTGCCGCCTCCTTGGGGGGCCTTCTTCAGAGCCTTGGCCAGCCTGGGGGGAACCCTCGGCTCGCCTGGCTCTGCAGCTGCCTTCTTGCTGGAGCTGGCCGGCCCTGTCTGGGGGGGCTTCCTGCTGGGCTGGGGCTTCCTGCTGGGCTGGGGCTTCCTCTTGTGCTTGGGTATGAGCTGGAAGAGAACAGCATGGGGAGGGTTGGGGGAATGCAGGGCGTTGGGGCCCCTGCATCCCACCAGGACCCCAAGAGGGGATCCAGGTGACAGAACTCAGCCACCCTGACACCTAACACCTTCCCTTTCCCAGGGATGGCATCTTGACTCCACCCCTTGCCCCTCTGCACCCCCACGCCCCACAGAGCACAGCGTAACCTCTGCACGCCCAGACTCAGTCTTCCTATCTATGCAAGGGGCCATCACGGAAGCAATGACTGTCAGCGGGAAGCGGGGGTCCCTGCCCTTCAAGCCCCACCCTGAGCACTGCTACTCCCTGTCCCCAAGTCTTCTTGACACCCATCACCCACCATGACCAGGAACACATGCACAGCCAGCCCCCACTGTTCTTCTCACCCCACCACATCCACTGGGGGACCCTGGAATCAGTCACCCAGAAACCACAGGCGCCATGACCTGGTGGCCGAAGGCACCAGGATGCTGGGGTGAGGTTCTGTCCTATTGCTCTGTCAGATCTGAGTGACCCTGAAAGGTTCTTTCTTTTCTTTTTTTTTTTTTGGTACTGGGGATCCAACTTCTGAAAGGTTCTTGCTTGGACCTTATCACCTGGATGGTTGGGGAGGAGGAGGCCTCAGGGAGGGGGTGGAGGATGGGGGCTCAGAAAAGGGACCACCCTCGCCCTGGGCACAGACCCTGGAGCCCAGGGAGCATCCTACAGTTGTGAGGACATGGGGACCTAGAGCCAGCATGGCACAGGTGTTCCCAGGCCTGCAGAGGCACCTGGGAACTGGGACAGGTAGGTGAAGCCAGATGCCGTCCCAGGCAGGACCAGGCAGTGCTGCCCTCCCCCCCCCCACCCCGGGCTCACCTTAAAGCTGCCAGTGGCACCCCTGGCCTTGGAGTTGAGGGGCCTGGTGAGGAGGCCACGGCGCATGCCAGTGGCCAGGGCCTGCTTCAGCAGGTACTTGAAGCGGATGACATCCACCGTTGGGTACTTGTGCAGGATGTAGAGCTTGATGGCTGCCACTGAGGTGCCATGGCGCTGCTCCCCTGCCTGGAGGGCCTCCAGCACCATGCGCAGCACTGTGGGGTGGCGGCGGACCAACATGACCCTGCTGCTGCTCAGGCCTGCAGGGGACAGCAGGACGTCTTCTTGATCCCACAGACTGGGCACAGCATGCACCAGGGGCTTATGGGGCCATGGGGTATGGGGAAGACCAGCATCACCTGCAGCTTCAGACTTTCTCTTGTAAACATAAAAACACGGTGTGTTTAAACTTTTAAAAATTTATCACAGTGAAAGATATGGTCACAAATCTCCCTCAAAATCTTCCTCCTCACTTCATATGCACCGATCCCATCACTCTTGCTACTTTCTGCAACAGTTCTGGAGTTTTCTTTCCTAAGTGTCTTTCCAAGGTGTGCTAAAGAATACAGTGAATGCTGCTGCTGAGCACCATCCAACAGAAAGGCAGGCTCATAAAATATGATGGTGTCCTCATCCACCTTGCTCACCAGATCTGGGACCTGCGACTTCTGGCTCTTCCCCAAGGTCAAAATGACCACAATAGGGAAATGTTTTGAATCAAATCAGGACATCAAGGCAGCCAGGACAGCATAACTAAAGACACTCATGAAAGAGGACTCCAGAGCTGCTGCAGAAAGTGGCAAGCAGGATGGGATAAGTGTGTTCAAAGTGAAGGGGAGGATTTTGAGGCTAAATGTCTTTATCCTCAAATAAACAAATGTTTTAAAATTTTAAACATTCACCATATTTTTCAATCATGCCTGGAATTCCTTTGGGAAAAAAATGTAAGTCAGTCAGTTGTCTGGACCTGATTACTGGTGTTTAGGATATTAGGGGCTCTGAGCGGCAGGCACAGTGACATCCACAGGGCACACAGTGGGTTCCTCTTACACAAACACCCAGGGCAGGAACTCAGACAGGCACCCATGGGTAGAAGATCTTAGGAGACACAGCCAAATGCAGCTCAGATAGGGGTGGCCAAAAAAAACCAAAACAAAAACTGAGTATAGTGGCTTGAGCCTGTGATTCCGGCTGCTCAGTAGGCTGAAGCAGGAGGATGGCTTGAGCCCAGTTTGAAACCAGCCGGCACACCATACTGAGGCCCCGCTCTAAACATGGAAGTAAAAGGCAATCAGATAAACATGAGCCCTGAAAGAAGCACTGAATGCTACTGGGCCTGGTGTTAATCACACCACACGCTGACATACTAGGTACTGTTCTTGAGGGGGCACTGGGGTGGAACCTGCGGCCTCACACATGCCTGGCAGACGCTATACTGAGCTGCAGTGGAGCCCTGGATCCCCTGTAAAGATTATATGTTAAGAATAAGCACTGGGTGTGCATAGATGAAACACAGGTCAGCAGCTGCTTCTAAACAACACTGCAGATGAAAGGGCAGCCCAAGGGCAGCCCCAGGCTGGGAACGCTGGAGGGGGTTGGGGGCTGGCACCCATTCCCTGCTCTGCTTTTAGATCTGATTGAAAGTTCTGAGAGTAAACAATTCTAGCAGAGCGTGATGGCACATACCACGATTACAGGCATGTCAGGGAGGCTGAGGCAGGAGGATTGCCAAGTTTCCTAGCCTGGGAAACTTAGCAACTTAGTAAGACCCTGTCTTAAAATAAAAAATTGAGAAAAGGCCAGGGGATGTAGCTCAGCAAGAAGGCCCTGGTTTCAGTCACCAGGACCACACACACAGATTGCATCCCTAGTGTATAGGCCCAAGAGAGATGAAAATACAAATCCACACAAAGATGTGCACCTGTAGGGCTGGGGGTGTAACTCAGAGGTAGAATGCGTGCTCTGCATGCACAGGCCCTGGGTTTGATCCCCAGTGCCACCCCCTTATTTCATACATGCATGTTTATAGCAGCACTATTCCTAACAGCCAAAAAGTGGAAGCAACCCAAATGTCCATGAACATAAAGACAAATGGATAAAGAGTGTGATACAGCGTGCAGAACAACATTACTTGGCTATGAAGAGGAGGCAGTCCCGATAGATGCTATAAGAGGGTGGACCCTGAACACGCTCCAGGTGAGAATCGGGCACAGAATCCCGGGAGGCCTGTGTCTGTGTTCACAGGAAGCACCCAGCATGAAAAACCAGGGACACAGAAAGCCGGTCTGTGGCTGCCGGACTGGGTGGGAGCGACTGCAAAGGGACTCTTTCTGAAGAGATGAAAATGTTCTGAACCTCACTGTAGAGATGACACACCATCAACTCAGGCCATCACACACTAAACGGGTGACTCATATAGGAGTGGGTTGTTTCCCAGGAAGTGGCAGGTGTGCAGGGCCGGGGAGAGGCAGACGGCATGTGACAGAAGCATGACACAGGAGGAAACATGGAGCTGGGAATGTTGAGATCTGGTCAGTTTAAGATTTAGGCTCAGAGGCATGGTGGTGCACACTTGTAATCCCAGCCCTTGGGAGGCTGAGGCAGGAGGATCACTGTGAGTTGGAGGCCAGCCTTGGCTACATAGTGAGTTCAAGGCCAGCCTCGGCTACACAGTGATACTCTGTCTCAAAAACCCAAAGGAAGTAAAAGGATCGGAAAAAGGAATCAATTGGCTACACTATATTAAAATACTGTTTTAAACTCTGAAACTCTGCCTAGAGGAGAATCAGAGACTTCATCCAAATCAGCCCTTGGTCAGCGCCCAAGGGTGGGGGGTGGGGACTGTGGTTTTGAGGGGATGTGGCTGTGGGGGCCATGTCCCAGCTCTGTACCTGGAGCTGGGCAGCCTCGCCTCTCTCTGGGCCTCCGTCCGAGTCCCCCAGCTGCGGGGTCTCAGAGCTTCTGGGCGGCCTGAGCTTGGCCAGCGCTGCACCCCTCCCCTGCCTCCCCCACTGTGTGGCCTCCTGAGAGCACCCCGAGGCCTGTGCCCCCATCTTGGAAGCCCTTCCAGGCCCCCCATGTTCCAGATGTCCAGGGCTTCCCCCAGACCTGCCCCTCGCCTCTCCCAGGAATGGGGTGCCCCACCCTCCCGGCCGCCCCTCTCCATCCCCAGCCCCAACAACTTCTGTCCCCACCATATCTGCCCCCTCCCTGCCCTGCCTGGGGCTGTGGTTCCCTCGGCCTTCAGAATAGGAGACCCCCCCAAGATGGCCCTCCCAGCTCCGACATCCCTCTTAGAAGGAAGCCTGTAGTCCCCCCCAGTCCTCCAGCAGCCTTTCCCTGTGGCCTTGGCTGTTTCCTGGCCCTGCTGCCTTCCTCCTGCAGGTCCCCTGGCTCCTCCCAGGGCCACAGAGGCAGGCTGACCCTGGGATGCTGCCGACTGACCTAGATGGCCGGCACCTGCAGCCAGGCCTCGGCGGGCCTCTTCGGCTTGGCCCAGCTAGGGAAAGAGGCGGCAGGGAGGGCGCGGGAATAGGGGTGCAAGGATGGGGTGCCCCCTGCTCACTTGGCTCTCCAGACCCAGGGGACCCTGATGACCCCGCTGTGGAGGGGGAGAAAGAGGAGTTGCTGGCGATGCTCCTGGAAGCCATCGGAAGAGCAGCTGCGGCAGCCACCTCTGCTGTGGGTGAGGCCCCTGCTGCCCACCCGCTTTTTGTATCCACGCCAGCCACACCCTCCAATCAGCCCTGATTGGCATCTGGTGGGGATGCCCTGAATGCGGGTGGGGGCAGAAAGGTTAGGGTCGGAGTCCCTGACCCAGTGCAGCCACCCACTCTGTGCAGCCACAGGTGAGTCGCTGACCTCCTTGGGCCTCGCACTCTGTGAAACAGTGAGCACCAAGGTGCTTGGTCCCTCCCCAACACTGCCTGCCTCACGGTGGAGCGGCTACCAGGGAATTGGGGGCACCTGGGAGGCCTGAAGGCCATGGACGCCTGCAGGCCCAGCCTCCACCCACCTCCATCCACAAGGAGGAGCAGCTGTATGCGATCAGAGGCGACTGCAGTGTGAGTTGGGAGGGGCGGTTACAGCCCTGCAGCGAGGCAAAGTGACAGGGTGTGCTAAGCGGGGTGAGGCTGTGTTTCACACCCACAGAATGACAAATATTTAAGTGTCTGTCAGTGCTGACTGTCGAGGCTATGTCAAAACGCACAGCAGCCGAGAGAGCTGGCAGCTGCCTCAGGAAGCCACACGGCAATGCCCAGCTACTCCCGACCACCCACCCTCTCACTCGCTCTGGGAGGAGCCCAGGAACTCCCACAGATGGACGAGGCCAGGAACTTCGACTCAAATGCCTGTCAGATGGAGGCAGACGGGCCACCTGTGGCCTGGTCATGCAATGGAACAGTATACAGCTGTGAAGATGACACACCAGAATACAACAGTCAAGCTTGTTCCACTCGGGGAGGACAAAATTCAGGTGGTGTGCACACGTGTGTGAAGGCACAGATGACCTGAAGCGTTCGTGCCAGGGAAGCAGCAAGGTCATTCTGGAAGAAGGTACTGGACTTGGGGGTGGTGATTAAGACATCTTTTTCCTGTCTTTATAGCTGGTATTGTCTCAGAGCACTCTCCAGCCCCGCAGCTCCGGTGGCCCTCAGTGTCCTAGCGTGAACTCAGCCCTCCCTCCCCAGCCTGGCACCCTGCACAGCGCCCTGTGCTCTTGGCAAAAGTTCGAGCCCTTCAGCCCAGATCACAGAGCCTCCTCTGCCTTTGAACTCCACAGTGCAACCACACTGAACTCCCATGGTGGCTGTGTGCCAATGCCGGGCACTGCCCTTTGTGCTTCCCCTGAGTGTGTTAAATCAATACAAAAATAGTCCTAGCTTTGCACCCCAGCCCACAACTAGGCCTGTGTGCAATCGTGGCTGCTCCTGCCATCCTTAGATCTGAGCAGGCCTGTGACTTGCTTTAACCAATGCATTGTCGCAGAAGCAGAGGTGCATGGGTCCCATGCCCCAGCCAGCCCTCTGGGTGACCACAGATGCTTGGATGAGCCCAACAGAGGGTTGTCCAACCTTGGCCCAGATCAGCAGGACCCTTAGTTCACCACAGAGTTGTGCAACAACATGAGGGTTCCTGTTTTAAGCAGTAATTCTGGGGCTGTTTGTCAAGCAGCATAAACGAACTGATACATCTGGCCTAGAGGGCATCCTACACCCATACCTACCCTTCCAGGATATTTCTGACCCACCGTCCGGGGCTTCCATGACATTTCCTCAGAGAAGTCATAACACTGCAGTCCCTGGACTGGTCCCCAGGAGCCTCCAGCACCCCAAATCTGCTCTGCCTTCCCTCTCCCCCGCTCTTGAGCCTGGGGGAGGCCTGTGTCTTGTTCCTGGTGGTATTCCTGGTGCCAGGCATACACTAGGTACTCAATTGCTTTGCAGCTGTGAAGTCTGAGGGCGACAGCCTAGCCTGGGTGAGTGGAGGGGAGCCTGAAAACTGCTGCTCGCATCTCAGGGAGCAGGAGACGGCCGAAGCAAAGAGGCAAATAGAAGTTGGCGCATACAGGGCAGCAATTTTGATCGCGTTGGTGGGGCGTTTCCAAGAACTGAGAAACAGAAATACTCCATGATGTAAACATTCCCACGAACGTCAGCTGAAGCCTTGCTCCCGGCCTGTGCCAGGATTGAGCTTTGCATTTGGAGGGAAGCAATTCTAAAATGTGCTGCATGATCTAAAAATTCCTCGGGCTTTGCCACTTCGCTGGGAAATGCTAATGGCAGGCACAGGCCAGAAACCTTCCTGTTCCTACCGGCTTGGAACATCCCTGGCCCAACCTGGGGTGAAGATCACACTCCTAAGCCTCTGAGGCTGTGTCAGGCATCTGCCTTGTGTAACTCCAGCCCCATGACACCAGGACACATGTGATGGCAGAAAGAGTACCAGCTGCCAGTTTGAATCCATGTGCACGTGAAGTTGCCCACACTCACATCTTCCCAAGTTCAGGCCCTGCCCGAAACCTGGGACCTGGTGGTGTTAGTTAAGACACAACTCCAAAACAGCAGCAGCTTAAACAAGAGGCCAGGTGGCCATGGCCTTGTGAAACTGTGGGAAGTTGTAAAGTGGCCTGGGGGAACCAGGCTGTCTCTTAGGCTTTGCCATTCTCTGACTTAAGATTCTGCCTCATGATCTAACATGGCTGCCACAACTCTAGTCATCAAGATACATTTCAGCCAGTGAGCAGGAAAGAAAAGTGGAAGATACCTCCTTCTCTGACATGCACACCCTAGAGGCTGTCCACATTTATCTTGAGGACACCCACTGATCAGACCTTAAAGTCAGGTCCCCACAGGTGCAAGGGAAGCTGGGACAAGCGTGGTGACATGTGCTGGACAGCTAGGTGCCCGGTGGCCACTTGGGAGGATACTGGAGAGGAAAGAGAGGGTTGTGGGGGCAGGCAGCCCTTGTTCCCAACTTCCCAATTCCCCCCCAATTCCCATCTACTGCCTTTCTCCACACCAGGGCTGCCTCCTGTGTACTCCATTCATGCCTCTGTGGAGACTCACGTTTATTGAACATCTACTGTGCGCAGATCCTCTACATGGAGTCTCCCTCATCCCCCTGAATGGGCTAATCCCCCTTCCCCCATTCGAGCTGAGGGCCTGGAGGCCTGCAGTGGTCCAAACACTTGTGGGCCCCCACTTTCTTTTCAGGGCACCTCGGGTGGTGAGGGGTATATCTGTCCACCATGAGGTTGCCAGGTCACAACCTGGAGGCCAGGTCCTCTGCTCCATCTGGACTCCCTAGCTCACGCTGGCCAGGGTGTGGCCTCTGTAGGCTTGGCCCGATGGGTTGGATACAGCGGATGCCCCATAGACCTGTTGGCTGCCTCTAGTTTGCTGACAAGGGGGTCCCTTCCTGCACTGCTGCCAGCAGGCGTGTCTGTGTGTGTGGGCTGTCAGGTCATCCTCTGTTCCAGGAGAACACTTGGTCCCTTTCTCTGAGCCCCAAGGCTGGGCAGACACCACTCAGAGGCACTAGACTGGGGCTAGACTGCCAGGGAAGGCTAGGACTAAGAGGCCTAAATGCCACTTGTTGGGAGCAATTCTACATGATTTTGGGGAAAAATCATTTCATAATTAAATCATGATTAGGGCCTAGTGTTCCTGGCTACAGCATGTCCAGATATAACTCTGTTTTCACCTCCAGTCACACCTAAGACCTCAATGGTCCCGTGATGCTGTGATGCTCCAGGGCAGGACTACACCAGCTAGAGACATTCTGGGAGGAACAAAGTCTTCATCTCCATAGTTCCTCATTGTTCTAGGATCATCACTGGGCCCTCCGAGTCAATTGCTGTTTTTGTTTCTGCTGATGTTCTGAATAAGGGTGTGGCAAGCTTGGGGTCTGGGGTCTTTGCCCCCAGAGCAGCATGGATCAGGCCAAAGCTCAGCTTCTTAAGTCTCATTTTCTGTCTATATATTAATTAATTTGCCTTGTGCTGTCGTGGCTCGTAGGAGACTAGAACTTACTGCAGAGGTTCTAGCAATGTCTCCTTTCCCTGTTCCCTACAGCCACTGTTCTACCACTGTCACCCAGGCCAACACAGCCTGTGGAATGGACCATGAGAGCACAGGACTCTTCTTTCTCACATCCCAGGTTGGGGCTATGTCTAGCTGTGCTCTGGGTCTCATAGGCTTAGAGTCCATTCCCTCTGAGCTCATGGCGAGAACCTGCCTCCCTCACTGCAGACCACCTGGCTTATGTGATTTGTTTCTAATTTGGGCTCAGGGGTGATCAGGTGACTAGGCCTCGCTAATCAGGATTTATCCCAGCCAGCAAGGTGATAGGCTCAAGGGTGATCATGTGACCCAGACCTGGCAAATAAGAGGATGAAGAATCTCAGTTCAGACATATTGATGGGCTCAAGGGTGATCACATGACTGAGGCCTGGCCAATCAGAGCCCTATGTGGGACCATGGCAGTACTAAGGGGAAGGAGACACTGACTTGCTGAGCCTGGAACCAGGGTGGCCACTTCTGCCACCTCATGGGAACCACCAGCCCGTGAATGAAGTCAACATGGGAAAGTGTAGCCAGAGAGGGAGAGGCAGAGCGGATCATGTCATATGCGCCCCTGCACCTAGCCATGCCTGCAGCTCTTCATTTCTGTGAGAATAATGGCACCCTTCCTGCAGCCCAGCTGAGCTGCATTTCCCATGATTTGCCATCAGGGGCGCCCTGCCTGCCACCACCCAGGGAGACAATGAAGAGGGGCAGTGATCAAGGTCTCTGCCACCACCTGCCTCAGTCAGCTGTGGCTCCCACGGCCTGGATGTTGGTCCCCTGTCACCCAGGAGGATGGGGCACTCCCAGCCACTTTATCTCCATTTGTTCCCCTGGGGACCCAGCATCCAGTGCAGCCAGTTCTGGGCCTGGAGATGCCAGAGTGTCTCACTGACTGCACATCCAGAAGACCCAGGCTTGCTAATCCCTCAAGATCCGATTCAGGGAATCTTGCAGAGGTCACAGAGCTTGCTGTTGTTTCACAAGTCCCTGGGTCTCTGCAACTCCCAGGCCAGGTGTCCTCCTTCCAGGGTCCTCCTTGATCCCCAACAACAGAGGGCTGCTTGCCTCTGCCCACTGAGCAGCCCACCCCCCAGGGCCAGTTTTCATGTGGGAGCTGCTAGTGCCAGTCCATCCTGCAGATGATGAGGCTGAGAGCAAGAAACCACCGCCATGGACAACAGGACTGAGCTGAGCTTTTAATGCCCCACGGTCCTTGGCCCCTGGGCTCTGGCAGTGACTGGGACAGCTTGATTCTAACCCCAAGTTGCAGACTGCTTTGGAGCAGAATGTAGGAGGGGGACAGGCTGAGACTGTCGAAGACGGGCTGATCCCATAACGGGGCTAGAAACCAGGACCCAGCAGCTCCCGGGGTGCTAGCTTTGCCTCTTGGTTTCTGAGTTCTCCAAGACCAGTTGACATCGGGACTCAGCTCTCTGTTAAGTGTAGACAGAGTGGCTGTGGCCCAGGTACCAGGGAGAACAGCAGGCAGCTTCAAAATGCCAGGGACAGGCCTGGCTGCCACAGGCCCTGAGCTTCTTTCTCTGGTGTGCTGGCTGCACCCTGCATCCCTGGAACTGTCTCCCTGCCACCTACCCCGGGCCCCAGGCTGATTTTGAAAACACCCCTACTGGGTTCTGGGTGCAGGGGTGTGGGTGTCTGAATGCTGGGAACCTGGCTGATGACTGTTGTGACTGTCAAGCAGACGTGACCATCATATTTCATTCTATTAGTTGATATTGTTCATAATGTAGACTGCAATCTGTACAGCTCCTATTTACAAAGTGCTTAAACACACACACACGTGCACACATACCCACATAAACACACGCACAATCTCATTTGTTCTTTGCAGTGGCCGTGTGCTGTCAGGGCCAGGCTTTGGGGTCCTGTGTCATGGTGGGGAACCACTGCTTGACTCATCACTGTGTGTCACAGGGTCTGAGAGGATGGATGTGTCCTCCTATCTATTCACCCTTCACTCATTGCTCCATTCAGCCTTCACCCATTCCTTCCTTCATCCAGCTAGCATTTATTAAGCACCTACTTTGTGCCCCATTGTGTGCTAGATACTTAGCCCTAAGCTGGAGCACTTTTCCAGAGAGCAAGAGTTCTTGCATTCCTGAGACAAGCTGGGAGAGGGGTACAGACCCCCAGGCCCTGGGAGCTGGGGGACTCCAGACCCGGGGGCTGTGTGGGTGTCCCTTCTCAGGCTGTCCCTGTGGAGAGGGGAGCCTCATTTTTCTCTCACTGATTATTTAAAAAGAAACTCAGGGGCCTGCCTGTGTGGCCGTGTTGTGGCAGGCACACTCTTGGTGGGCTGGCTGTGGGGGTAGGGGGTCCTACAGTCGGCTGCAGGGGCCCCAGCAGGGCTTAGGCCGGGGCCACCTGGCTGGTTTCGGTCTTGGAGGCAGTGGTGGAGGCCTCGTCATCGCCCAGTGGGCTCTTGCCACAGCAGATGGTAGTGAGCATGCAGTTCCGGAACTGGAAGGCAAGGGGCCAGGTCAGTGTGGGGACATCTGTCCTGTGGGATGCCACCCACCCCCGAGATACCAGGGACCCAGCACGAGGGGCCTTGGTTGCTGGTGATGTGCTCTGTGATATTCTGTAATTTTCTCATTTAATTTCAGAGTTTGGGATTTTGTTCTTTCTATGGAAGAGAAAACAGGCCCAGAGTGGGGAGTTGACTTGCCCAAGGATGCCCAGCTAGAAGATGGCACAGCCGGCACCTGAACCCAGCATGCCTGGCTGCAGAGAGTGTTCCCCCCGAGGGACCTTGGCCTTGGGTAAGGAGGCTCCACCCTTCCCAGCTTTATGTTTGGGGCTGTCCCCTTCCCAAGCTCTGGACTGGCTGGCTTTCCGAGCCAGCTTCCAGAGCCATCAGGGCCAGTGCCTGTCACACTCGACCAACACAGAGTCATCTGGAGGGCTTGTGAGAAACGCAATGTCCTGGGCCCAGCTGAGATTTAGATCCAGCAGCTCAAGGTGGGGCCCAGGCATTGGCATGGACCTCAGAGCCCCCACCTCCACCTGGAGCCAGGCCCATGCCCTGGGGACCCGTGCCAGGCACCTGCTTGTTCATCATGATGTAGATGACGGGGTTGTAGATAGAGGAGCTCTTGGCAAAGAACGCCGGGATGGTCATGAAGATGGGGCCAAAGTCAGAGCCCTGGTGGGTGAAGATGTACATAGCCACACTGGCATAGGGGACCCAGCAGATCAGGAAGGCGATGACCATGATGATGACCATGCGGGTGACCTCCTTCTCTGCCTTCTGGGTGGTGGCCGACTCCTGCTGCTGTGCAGCTGCCTTTGGGGACACAGGGCCCATGTCCAGATGGTGAGGTTGGCACCGTCACCTATCCAGTGCTCACCCGGGCACCACCCCAAGGGTCCCCCACCCATACCTCCTTGACGGTGAAGACCAGCTGCCCGTAACAGAAGAAGATGATGACCAGGGGGATGGTGAAGTGGACCACGAACATGTAGATGACGAAGGACTCATTGTTGATCTCAGGCTTGGGCGTGTAGTAGTCGATCCCACATGAGCACTGCATCCCCTCAGGGATATACCTGGGGACCGGTGCCCGTGAGCACCCAGTCCCAAGGGACCAGAAGCTGCCTGCCTGGCCAGGTTCAGAGGACTGTACCTGGTCCCCGCCACCATGCCAACCCTCAGCAATCTTTGCCACCCTGACCTGGCAGCCAGAGGCCATACGGTTGGAGACTGGGACCCTGGGCCAGGTCTTCCAGCTACAGGTTTTACAGCTACAGCTGTAAAAGTATTTTCTAGGCCAAAGGTGAACATAGGGGCACTCAGAAGGGGTCTTTAAGCAGCTGTGGGAATACTAGGCCCTGAGAAGCGGTCAGAGTGTCTCGGTGACTTCTGGGGATGGGGACCAATCCAATGTCACTTGACCATGGGCTGCACCATCAGGGCTGCTCTGGGCCAGGATTGGGAGACAGCAAGGCCAGAGGAGGCTGGAACCAGCAGGGCAAGAACAGGCCCATGAGGGGCATGGAGGCCAGCAAGGGGAGACACAAGTTTCCTGGAACAGATGAACACAGGCTCTGGACACCAGATACCTAGCCGGCTGTGCAGACCTCCGTCTCCATGTCCTCTCATATCAGCCCCTCTGTAGACAGTGGTCCAGAGGTTGGGGGACCCCATTCCCAGGATGGTGTGTCACCCTGTCTGCGAGGTGAGCTGCCGCATGTGGCCCAAGGTCAGCACAGGGTGGAAAAAGAGGATCGGCTGTGGGCCTGGCTTAGCTGAGGATTAGGGGCTCGCCCAAAGGGAAGGGTCAGGGGACCCAGGAGTCTCCGTGATAGAGGCTTGGGAGGGGAACCAGCACCCTAGTGCCTTCCCCACTGGCTTTGGGGATGCCATTACCTGGACCAGCCAGCGAGGGGCGGTGCGGCACAAGCCAGCGCCATGACCCAGGTGAAGGCAACGCCCACGATGGCATGGTTCTCGCCAAAGCGGAAGTTGCTCATGGGCTTGCAGACGACCATGTAGCGCTCGATGGCCAGCACCACCAGGGACCACAGGGCGATCTCACCTGCGGCAACAGTGGCCATTAGCCCGCTGCTGCCCACGAGGACCCACAGCTGCCCTTCTGGGGAGCCAGCAGAGGCCCTGAGTGGACTGGGTGGCTGTGGGAGGCTCAATAGACATTGGCTTTGCAGGACCCTCTAACTGGACCCACACAGCACCGGCTGAAGCTTTGCCCAGGTGGCCTCAGACACCTGCCCACACATCACCCAAATAGTCACACAGCTGACCCTCTGGGAGGGGATGCTGCCAACGCCTATCCCAGCTTGGGGCCGGCCCCATGGGGACCCAACTGTGTGGCAAAGACTGGAGCTGTGACCTCGTGGCAACAGTATCCAGGACACACCAGCTGGCGCTGTGCTCTCCTTTCCCATCCTCCAGTGCCTGGGTCTGTGTCAGGGGACACTGGTCCCCGCCTGGTCAGGTCCTTACAGGCTCCTGACTCCTCCCTGCCTCAGTTTCCTGACCCACTGAGTGAGCGCCACCATCTGTTTTCCAGATGGACTTTAGAAGCTACGGATCTGCACCCAGGTCTAGCACTCCAGGGAAAGGTGCTGCAGAGGGGGTGAGGTCCCCAGCACAAGGAACATTCAAGGGTGACAGTGAGGCTGGGACTGGGCCAGAGCCCACTGCCATGTGACCAAGGGCAGACACTCCTGGCTCCTGTCCCATTCCTGGAGGACAGGGTCTGTCACTGCCTCCTCTGTCCCAGGCAGCCAGCTAGATGTGGGCTCAGACTGAGCTCTGGTCAGTCTCCCTATGGGCCAGGAGGCCCTCGACTGCCCCAGACTCCAGATTCCTTGCTATAAAATGCAACAGAGTGATGGAGCACACCTGTAATCCCAGCACTTGAGAGACTGAGGCAGGAGGATCACCACAAGTTTGAGGTCAGCCTGGGCCACACAGTGAGACTCTTTGTCTCAAAAAACCAAACCAAACCAAAACAACCCCCAAAACTGAACAGAAGCCTGCTCAATGGGAGTTAAAAGCAGGGGTAACTGCCCTTTACAAACAGCAGCCTGCCTCAGCATCACAGTGTTTGTTGACTGAATAAGTGGGAACTTTGGCTAATGCTGACAGGAGGGAAGGATTGAGGGGAGGCCTCTGCGCCTATCCCACACCCGCCGTGCTCCCTGGCCCCTGCCCAACACCTACACCTACCACCCAGAGTGGCAAAGAAGCCCTCCATGTTGCAGCCCGTGGCCCCGAAGACGAAGTATCCGTGCATGGAGGTGTAGAGGGTGGTGGTGAAGCCACAAATGACCATGAAGAGGTCGGCCACGGCCAGGTTGAGCAGGATGTAGTTGAGAGGCGTGCGAAGCTTCTTATGCTGCACGGTGACGTAGAGTGTGAGGAAGTTGACAGGGAAGCCCAGCACGATGAGCAGGAACATGTAGGCGGCCAGCATAGAGAACTGCCAGGGCTCAGCCAGGTAGTACTGTGGGTACTCGAAGGGGCTGCGCACCATGCCCGTGATGTTGGAGAAGGGCACGTAGAAGTTGGGGCCCTCCGTGCCGTTCATGGCTGCGGACTGGTCTGCCCCGTGGGCGCGGTGGCTCCACCGGTGGAGAAGGACGCGGCAAGGCCTGTGTAGCTCGGGGCTTCCGGGACAACTCTCGGCCCCGGCCCCCCCAGGCCCTTATGAAGTGACCTTCTGGGCCTAAGCTGAGCTGACTCAGCCTGCTGGAGATCGGCACATAATCATACTAATCCCACGCTGCCTCGGGGGGCTAATTGGCTTGCAGGGGGACAAGGTGACACCATGGGGACAAATGGATGCCCAGGAGGGGAGGGGCCCCCACGGGACCCTGGATGGGAAGAAGCCACCCTGACTTCTCCGTCCCAGGCCCCCCAGTCCGTGCTTGTCTCCTCTGGTGGCCCAGGCCAGGGACCTTGGGACGCCACACCTGTGCCGGTCTTACCTCTGTCCTTGGAGCCCAGCGAGGATAAAGAATTCACTCCTTTGGGCTGTCACTAAGCACTCAGGAGCTGTCCCTCGGCCACTGAGATGGGGAAGGAAGAGGATGCGACCTGGGAGGGTGGACGTGGCTGTGGGGACAGAGCCACGTGCCTGGAAGTCCTGGGAGCCACATGGGGACAAGGTCAGGGTGGTGGTGACAGCCGCAGAGCCAGATGCATCCAGGGGCAGAGGCTCAGGCTCAAACGCCTCGAGGGGTTGTCGGGTGGCAGGTGACAACAGTGGGTGGCACAGAGACCTCCAGTGTCCTGGGCTCCCAAATCTGGCCCAGGGCTAGGGACCCCAGCTGCGAGGAAGCTGACCCTGAAATGAGCAGCAGGCACTGGCTGGGGTTGGTGTGAGCTCTGCATCTCTGCCCCACCCAGGACAGTGGCACCAGCATGGGCAAGAAAGTCTGTGACAGGCGCTTGGTGACACCTGGGATGAAGGGGGAGGCTGGAGTGGCTGTGGGAGTTTTGGTAGCCATGGTCCAGCCATCGTGTGCTCAGAGCACCTGGGGCTTCGCAGATGAGGATTTCGATGTAGGGCACACCCATGGTGGGTGGATGGCAGGGGTTATGAGCTTGGAAACATGACCCAGAGCAGCCAGGAAGGCCGAGAACTGAGTGTCCAAGCAGAGGGCTGGCCATGCAAAGGCCCTGAGGTAGGGACAGAAGCCCAGACAGGGAGGTCTCTGCAGCTGGGGCCTGGAGCTCTGTCTGCTCCGAAGTCCCCCTCATCTCAGCCCTTACCCTTCCTAGCAGCCTTAGGGTCTCACAGGGTTGGCCACAGAGGGCTGAGAGCACCATGGGCTGGAGGTGGCCTCTGCCGTTAAGGCGCTTGGCCCAGCGATTAGGCTGTGTTAATGAGGTCAAGGTGGAGCATGGCTCTGAGGCAGACCTGTAGCAGGCAGGCGCAGGGACACCTCAGTGTGGCCTGGTGCTTTTGCAGCTCCCTCATGCACTGCCTTGGGCCTGGCCCCGGGCTGTGTGCTGACAGCTCCCAGCGGCCTGGCTGGTGGCTCAGGATGGGCCCCAAGCCCAGCACAGCCCCTGGTGTGCAGGGGACCAGAGAAGCTGGGTTTCATCCATTCTGTTCCTGCCCAGTGCTCAGCAGCTGCTCCAGGAGGGTTTGTTGAATGAACGAGTGGAAGCCCGGTCCCTCTGTCCTGGGTTCCCCCTTGGTGACACTTTAGCCGGTCTCAACCTTGCTGTGCTGTGGCGATGGAGGTGACTGTGAAGCGTGAGGAGGTGTTTTTAAACGGAGGCGTTCTTTGTTCAGCAAGATAACTCGGGAGGGGCTAAGGGTTTCAGACTTCACCGGCCGATCCTCCCCATTGCTTCCATTCTGCAGATGGAGAGATGGAGTCAGCAGTGGCCACCCAGCCCACATGACAAATCTGTGATAGCCTGGGCTATCACGTGGCTTTCTGAGGTATCTGTTGCTTCCTCCCTCACCTATGAGAGACAGCGCCCTGAAAACATGTGTCAGCCCTTCACACCCTAGTATAAGTGACTGGAGGCCAGCTAGGCCAGGGTGGTGGGAAGATGGTAAACTGAGCCACATAGGCTGGGGGCACAGTGGTGCCTCTGTGAGAGGCCTCTGCATCACCATGAAACCCTTGGGAGTCCCACTTCCCCTCCATCACCGTGCTTCAGAGTGACTGTGCATGCTCATCTGAGGGACTCTTGTCACCTGGGCATCACCCTGATGTCCCCACACAGGTCCCCCTGTCCTGCTCATTTCTGCACATGGCACAGCTGGTGTGTCTTCCGACTGGCAGGGCATGGGTGTGGTCCTGTGGACCTATCTGCACAAGGAGACACACCTGGCTGGAGTGATTGAGTCCCAACCCCTCAGCTGGGGTGACAAGTGCTAGGGGAGCTCCAGCTCGGCCCCAGAAGTGACCACAGGAAGATTAGGGCTGAGCCACTAGGGCTGAGAGTTCCTAGGCTGCTGGGTCAGTAGCCCTCCTCACTCCCATCCTCCTCATTGGCCTGTGCTTGGGCTTTGGAGTCAGGATGGAGCCATGGGGCAGGGCCTGGCCACAGTGGCTGCCTGGATAGGCTCTCGCCACCCAGCTCGCCCCTTCCCTTGTTGCTCAGCCCCATGTTGGGGACGGGACATCTGCCTGCCAGTGGCACAGCATGAGGGGCTCCTGAGGCCCAGGGACACATGGCTGCCTGAGGCCCCACCCTCACCGGCCTGGCTCTGGTCTCCCTCTCTCCTCCCTTGTGGGAACCAGGGACAGGAGGTCGGGTCAGCCCCCACGCCTTGTGGCCTTCCTGTCGTGGGCAGGGCTGGGCTGGAGGGGGTCCTGTGTACAGCAGGAAAACTGAGGGAGGACAGACGTGGCCAGGACCAGCCAGGCGCACGGCACTGAGGGCGCAGCCTGAGAATTGCAGCATTGCTCCTCATTGGCCAGGGTGGTCCCAGAGCTCAGCCTCCGCCTTTGCCAGAGGACACTGCTCCTGCCCGCCGCAGCAGGGACCCTCTAATCTGTCACTGTGATTGACGCCTGTTGGGAAGCTGAGCTGTTTTCTCTGAGCCCCTCTTTCCCTGCCATATGCAAATGATTTCAGTTCAAGAAATGCGCTAATGGAAATCCTAACACATTAATAACTGTTTAGCGGGAGAGAGCATGCATGATCGTCAGTAATTAGGAGCTCAGTGGAGGAGTTCTGTTGGCACAACTGTCTGGCTCCCTTCTCCATCTTCCTGTTGTCTCCATGGAGATGGGCAGGAGGGGCAGGGCCTCTGCAGCCCCCACTTCACCCTGTGAGGGGTGTTCATCAGGATTGGGCAGGCGTGGCAGGGGCAGTGGCCCACTCCAGGGCTACGAGGTGGAGCCGAGACAACACGTGGGCTGGACCAGTGTGGAAAAGTCCCCAGCAGGTTCGAGGTCCCCAGGTCCCCACCCACCGCCCCTCCTGTGTCCATGGCCCTTGGCACCAAGGACTTCCAAGGGGACCCATGTATCTGGGGACCTGGGGGAGGGCCTGTGTGCCAACCTTTCTCGTGTCTTCTTTGGAGCAGATATCTTATTGTCTTGTCTGAAGAGTGCCCCATCAAGCCAAAGTAAATAAACAACAGCAAAAACTCCCCACTCACTTACTCCTCCCAGGCTGCTGTTTCAATTAGATTAAATTTTAAGAGCACACAAATGCAATGTTCCTCTCAGATCAAATTAGAAACAGGTGCACTTTTACATAAGGAAATTAAGTTGCAGACAATATGAAGATCTGCTAAAATGGAGACATTGATGAAAATATGTAGTTCTTTATTTGTCATTATTGTGCAATCTGGGGCCACAGAGCAGGCCGCTGGCCTGAGGTCCATGCTCTCCAGCAGGCTGAGGCTGGCCACTTGAGCCACTCCAGAAGGAACAGGATTTCTCGTAGAAAATAGCTGTGCATTCTCCTCCCAGCTCCTGGCAGTACCAATAGGCAGGAACAGCCATGAACAGGGAGGGGCTCCGTGGCAACGCCAGGCCCTCCCAGGAACAGACTTCATCACCACTTTGCTGCTGTCCAACCTCCGGGCCACAGGGTGGTCACCAGCACAGCCCTGGTCACGGCCCTGGGTTGTTGATGCGCCGGCGGCAGTAGGGGCAGCAGCTGTGCTGGAGCACTAGCAGCTCATAGTCCTCAGAGTAGAACATCTGGCCGGGGACAAAGGATGGCACCAAGGCCTGAGGCTGGGCACCAGGTCTCCACCCCAAGCCATGCAGGAACCCCAGGGGCCCGGAGGCACACAGGTACCTGGAAGCAGGAGGGGCACATGGTGATGGCGATGTCGGGCAGCAGCGAGCGGAAGTACTGCCAGCGCAGGGGCAGGGGCCAGCGTTTGATGAGGACGTCACGGCGGCTCATGGATCGAAGCACTGCACGCCCCACTACCACGGGCACAAACTCTGAGCTGCCCTGCTGCAGAGGGACAGACGACACGGTCCCATGATCGCTGGGATGGCTGAAGTGGGTCCAGTGTCCCCAGGCATCCTCAGCAGTGACCAGATCCCCAGGCCTCCCTCTCCCCACAGCAAGGGGTCACGGTTGCCTCAGCCACCCCCAGGGTCCCTGTGGGCCTCACCTCAAAGCTCAGCTTGGCTGTGAACGGGTCATCATCCCCCGTGGGATCCACGGTCTCATCCAGCCTCAGTGTCTGGAAATCTGGGGTCTGGTTAAGGTGGAACCCATGGATCTCTCACTGTAGCCGAAGCTCCCACCCCATCCAGCCTGGCCCAGCAAAGGATGCCACTACTTGCGACCTCTTGCCACCTGTCCTCCTGCTGGTGCTGTGGTGCCTCCAGGTCAATGAGGGCCACGGCCTCCTCATCACTGATGCCCTCCTCCAGCTGGAACTCCACCAGATGCAGCACCTCTGGGCACAGGGGCGGGTGACACCAGGAATAGGGGTGCCAGGGCCTCCCCAGGGCAGTGGGGACAGCAGGGATAGCGGGGCCCTTTCCGGGGAGAGATGGAAAGACACACAGCCTCTGCCCAGATTCTGCCAGAGGCTTCTGGCTCCTGTTCTCCTGGGGAGGAGAAGGGAAGGGCCAAGAGCCCCAGGCCAGCCCAGCCTCTGT